CTGCGTTCAGCTTGGCGACCCCATGCAGATGGTGAATCTATTGATGCGGTATCCCTATCACATCTCGACTTTGCTCCAAGTAAGCAAGGTTGCCATTCAGGACCAGAATCAGTCACTAGCTGCAGACCTCTGCGAGCGAGCACTCTTCACATTCGGTCGATCCACGACATCCGCTTTTAGACAGAAATTGGAGCAGGGCAAGGCTCGACTGGACTTCCGCCGCCCCGAGAACCGCGAACTCTGGCTGGCAGGATATACGTATCTCAAGAGCCTCATCCGCAAGGGCACGTATAGGACGGCTCTAGAGTGGGCCAAGCTTCTCTTCAGTCTCAACCCTAATGATCCTTATGGTATGAAGTATTTCATTCATACTCTGGCAATACGAGCACGTCAAGCGCAGTGGCTCATTGAGTTTCTCAACACTGGCGAATTTGTGGCGGACGAGACGGATGATACCTACATCAAGCAGACAATGGTTCTCGCCAAGCTTCAGGTGGGCGATGCGGAGGGAGCAAAAATGGCTGCAGTGGCCGGCATGGAGCGGTTGCCGTGGCTATACTGTGCCCTATTCCAAGCGCTGAACCTGGAAGCGCCGCCTCCTCTGTGGGGAGTTCGACCTGACACGGACGAGCGCGAGTTCTGGACGAAGCTGTACGTTCACCAGGCCAAGGACATTTGGAACAATACGCAAGCAATCGATTTGCTCAAAGAGGCCGTCAAGCTTGCGAAGAAGCCGACAGAGACACTCCCCGAGGATATGCCGGCAACAACCCGTACAGCGAGATGGACTTGGCTGGAAGATACTCCGGCCCTGTTGAGTGGCATCCCAAGGGCCATTCTCACCCAGGAGCCAAACTACGCCTTCGATCCGCTCCCACCTCTGGAGGATGAGAACATCTTTACGAGTGAGGGAGTCCGGATGCCGTGGCGACAAGACAATGGGCAGGGTGGAGGCATGCTCGCCCAAGAGCGAGCACTCCTCAACATGCTTCGCAGACAGCGTCAGCGAGCAGATGCCCGGGGCGCTGGAGCCGGCGCGGCCGCAGGAGCTGGTGCTATGGCAGGAATGATGGGCGCGTTCCCCGAAGACGACGATGACGCTGGCGATGGCGACTTTGGTGATGCATGGGAGGGAGCATTCTCTGAAGGTGAGGGCGACGATGACGATGACGGTTTTCTAGAGGGGGAAGGAGGGCAGCCTCCATCGGCTGGCGTGGTGCAGCGGCTTGCTGACTTGCTGGCGTCTATGATACCCGGCGGCTGGCCGGCTGAGCCAACCGTCGACGATGAGGCGGAAAGCACGGATGAGGAAATGCCGCCTCTGGTTGACGGCGATGAGGATGCAGATGGTGATCAGGCACGTCGACAGCCTGGGGCGAACTAAGGTAGCCCGCAGCGATCAACTGGGTGTGCCTATCTAGATAAAGGGTCTGTTGCCCTCGATGGTTTCCTAGAGATATAGAGCACCGATACCCATACAAGAGAATTGAACAAAGGATGCCCAACTCGTTTATTCTTACCATACTACTACGTATCAGCCCGATATCAACTTGCAGTCGTCTTCAACATGTACACGGACCCCTGTCCTAGCGCGAGCAGACTAACTTGCGGGTTCGACCGCACGCGACATCCATGAAAGGTCGGAACGAGAGAAGGGGGCGGAAGCAAGGACGATCTGCTAGGTGTGAAGAGTGAGAACGGAGACGTTCCCTGGATCCTGGGACATCTCACGTGTGAAGGGTCTGTATCCGTAAGGTACTTATCCTTACCTCACTTTGTAATACATTTGTGCACCTGCATCACTGTCACTGTCGCTCTGAAATGAAATGCGCTCGCTCAGTACCTCACGGCGGGAATTGGGGGGGTCCCTCTCTGTTTCAGGGGGGTGATTCGGAGAGAGAGAATCAGAAAAGAGCATTTTGGAAGTTGCAAAGGGCTAAGGTGAGCAAGTTTCAGAAGCGAGACGGGGACTCTTTCCTCTGGGGTGTGGTCGGGTTCAATTTGGCGCTAGCGGCTACTGGGGGGGGGGGGGGTTCGGATGTCAGTGAGCGTGCTGCGCGGCCTTCTCTTGCGCCATCGACGGGCGGTTTCTATGGGAATTAATAATGCGATTTGGCAGCACCAAGGAGGACAGATATATATTCGGTCCAGATGGCCACCATCTCTTCCGGTCTGCCGATGACTTTTCTCTGGTTTTTACTCTTGACTTAAAGATACCCCTTTCTTCAACAAGTTCTCGTAATACAAGCGAATCACCCGTAAACCACTCAGGATTATAAACGACTGGAGCTTTCCTTGCCCCTCCTTAATAGCTCTGTTGTACCCCGCCAAACGCCATACCGCAAACTCTCCCACCTGCAACCCACCGAATTTCCAATCTTTCGACGTCCTTCCAAACACCACCACCAAAAACCGACACAATGGCTGAGCACACCTACAAGTTCAACGTCAGCATGAGCTGCGGCGGCTGCTCCGGCGCCGTCGACCGCGTCCTGAAGAAGCTGGATGGTTAGTCCCCTCCCCACAGATTCCCGCCCCGTTGCCGAAAGAACACGTGCTGACCAAAGCTTTGTCCGAATTACAGGCGTCAAGTCGTACGAAGTCTCCCTCGAGAGCCAGACCGCCACCGTCATCGCCGAGGAGAGCCTGCCCTACGAGAAGGTCCTCCAGACCATCTCCAAGACTGGCAAGAAGGTCAACTCTGGCAGCGCCGACGGCGTTGAGCAGAGCGTCGAGGTCACCGCATAAACAGCCTTTTTCTCGATCTGAGTAGCGAACGGGATATTCTTTGGGCAAGGAGTTTTATACGGAACGTTTTGACCGCTGCGACAAAAAATGCAGTACGGCAATACGTTTTTGCTGCCGAGGACTTTTTTTGCTTTTGCGCACTTGCGAAACCCATTATCAAAAATAGATATACTATGGTCGCTTCGACTCTTCATACACGTCTATGTCTACCAGGTACCTATGTGCTTTCCGCCATCGAAATTCGAGTGGCTCGAAAGTTGCATGGCCCGGTCACTGTATTGTTGGTTGACTGCGACTACGTGTGCATAGCTTTCCACGGCCGGATGCTAATGGCTGGATGAGTATCCTTTAAGGGTTTTCTTCTGGCCTCATTTTGCGCTTTTTGTTGTGAAGCCACATCCGACCCGACAATGTCTTTGAACTGTAGATCATCACCCCTCGTGGCTCCATGTTATAGTTCGCAGCGCATCTCCGGTCGACTTCGAACCTCTGCAGCTGAGTAAGATCAAGCCTAGCGAGGGGTGTCTGTAAGTTGATCCAGGCTTCTTGTCGCCAACTCACACGAAGGTACTCACACGAAGGTACTCACACGAAGGTACTCACACGACGGTACTCACACGACGGTACTCACACGACGGTACTCACACGACGGTACTACCTACGTACTATTCTGGCATCGCTACCCACAAAACAGGCATCTTAGACTCCTGACACATTCAACTGCTGGAGCTCTTTGGACTTTGTTCGCAACCAAGGCGTCGGAACTGGGTGAATCAGGGCAATGTCTGTTTTCTCCTAGATTGTAGTTCACGATGCCGATGTCACCATATCAGCCTAGAATCAGGATCCCTATCGGCGCATTCCATCACCTTTTCTCCAAATGATGGTGGTCATGCCGATAGCAGTGGAGATGAAAAAACCCGCCCTCATCTAGGTGACATTGATACAAGGCCTTGCCTGCTCCGAGCTGCTCTCTGAAGATTTTACATAACTGCAGCAGCACGCATAATGCGGCATGAACAATCTGATCGGTTTGAGCTTTATTGACATGTCATCTTGACATGGAACGGTTGGAAGCTTTGTTGGACCGCAGATGGCTACCAAGACAACAAGAAGCTGCCCCTCTATCTAGAAACTTCGTTATTGGCCCGGGATAGATGTGCCCCTCTTGTCCTCAATGAAGTTTTGCCATGGATGGCAGGGTTGCTACCTACTTCGGTCTGCTATAAGCTTGCCGCCGTCTCATCAAGGGACATATTAGAAGGGCCTTTAGGGATCTACCACCGTCGATCTTGGTGCCTTGCCCAATGGGAGCTTCTAGATCGAGCATGAGACGGGAGGACACGTGAAGTAAGGACCCTGAAAGAAAGGAGATGTGCAGCATGTTTGGGAAGCATATGTCTGGTATTTTACGTAGTGGCATGGTAGATCTGGAAGTGGCTGTCGACACCCAGAGCTCACCTCAGTCCCAAGGGTACCCACACCCGCCAACGCCACCCGGGGAGCCGGGGAGGAGTGCCTACCAACGTCATTTTGCGCCGTGGGTGGTGGGGGGGGGGGCGATGGGAAAGGGCTGGGGGCCACGGGGGGGTAACCCACACAAAGCGCCGGCCGATGAACGGCTGGATACGTTTTTGCGGTCTGGCCATGGGTATTTCCTTTGGCTTTGCGCGCCTGAGTTATGTCTAGGATGGTGGGAGGTGGGAGAGACAAGTGAAAAGGGAAAGCGTCACACAGACAGATGACCGTCCGGCCCTGCCAGATGACGACCGGACCCGAAAGTGGGTGGCGGTGCTTGTACCGTTCCCCGTTTTTTCTTTGGCTTCCACGGGGTCTTGCCAAACGAATTGTTTGGTGAGGTGCACGAAGTACTTCGTAGAGAGCACGTACCCTTACCCTTAGTTAGGTAGCTGCCCGAACCTCTCATAATACGTCTGCCTTTCCTTGCATCAAAAGATGAGACCGCTGCGTTGCAGTTCTCGACACTAATGCAATTTCGACCTTTTGCAAAACATACAGCTGCTGCCTTGAAGTCAAAACGGACACTTTTTACTTCATCCGACTACAACTCTACTTCAAACTCAACCGGCAACACTACTTGAGAGAGGAGAAGAACCGGCTTCCAGAACACATCTCATCGAACGCCATCTCATCTCCATACCTACCACCGAGGAAGAAACAAAACCGTCCTATATTCGCACACAACCAAATACCTTCTACCACAGCCGTCCTTCAAACCCCCACATTTCACAATGGGAACACCGTTCGTGTCCCTCCTGGAGCCGACCCGGCTCGACGCCTACATACGCGGCGCGCCGCACGACGAGCAGCCGGCGACGATACCGAAGGAGATTTGCGACGCCATGGAGGTGCGCGAAGCCGTCTTCGTCGCCGAACAAGGCGTCCCCGCCGAGAACGAGTTCGACGCCGACGACAGCCGCGCCTGCCACTGGGTCTCGTACGCGTCCGTCAATAAAGTCGTCGAGCAGGAGGTCCTCGACGACGCCGGCAACGTCGTCCGGCCCCGCCGCAGCAGCACCCGCAGCACGCCCATCGGGACCATCCGCCTCGTGCCATTTCCCCACGCCCCGCACCCCAAGGACGGGGGCGTCTACTGGGACGGGGTGTTGAAGGAGGATCCGGCGGCAGCGGGGGAGGCTGCGCCGAACGGGGAGAAGAAAGCGGGAGGAGACGAGGAATCTTCAGAGTCGACGAGCAACCCCGTGGAGGAAAAGGCCGAGAGCGCGGCGGAGCACGTGGGCGAGGAGAGGCGCCTGTCGGCGACCAAAGTCTTTGCGCCGGACCGCGCGACGGCGCTGCACGACGGGCGGGAGCCGTACGTGAAGCTGGGCCGGCTGGCCGTGGTCAAGGAGTTTAGGGGACACCGGATCGCGAGGCTGCTGGTCACGACGGCGCTGGCGTGGCTGCGTGCGCACCCGAGCTACTTCGATCCCAGTATCAAGGAGATGGGACTCGAGGCGATCGGGGCGACCAGCGCAGAGGAGGTGCCTAAGTGGAGGGGGCTCGTCTGCGTGCACTCGCAGGCGGCCGTGGTTGGCGCGTGGGAGAAGTTTGGGTTCCGAGTCGACGAGGAGATGGGGACTTGGTGGGAGGAGGGGATCGAGCACAAGGGTATGTTTATGCGGTTGGATGTCGAGGAGGAGAAGCCCATCCTTTGAAGAGGAAAGGATGAAACAGTGATGCTTGGCTGGAGGTTGGCCGCTTAAAAGGAGAGAACAGAAGGCTGGGAAGGCATCATCGCCTGGCTTAGCAATGATTGATGATGGGGTCTGGCTAGTCGAGATGAGGGATCTCTGATGGTTTACGATACCCCATGATGATGGCTTTCTGCTTTTGGACCAACGTCCCTTAATATTATTTGGTAGTTTCGTCAAGACGGCATGGACATGTCGAGTTCGCCCATGCATTCACAAGGTACTTATGGCGGAGGACGAAGCAGTGACATGCTATGACGTTACGACGTCACCCAGGGTGGGCATCTCATACAGTCAACGGCGACGATACTGGGGAGGAAGCAAAGGGAAATATCATTCTCATCTCACATTAGACACCGTGGGGAAACGCCTGGGTTTTGTTCATTTGCTCTTACGAGCTTCGGCTTTTATTGGAATAAACCACCTTTTAAGCCGTGAAGAGACAAGATGCCGTAGCAGCTGCGTTCCCCCATTTCCCCGAAACGCGCGCAAATGCAAAACAAAAAGGGTCACCCAGCGCAAGACACCGCTTTTCTTTTCGTTCATGAATTGAAGAAAAAAGACGTTGAATTGCCCTGTTATGTAATACCACGCCTCCGATTTGATTTGTCCCCCAGAAAGCAGTTTTTTGACGTCTCGATAGAGAAATAGGGAAAAGGGGGAGGTTGTAGATGGAACCCCCATTTTTTCAACAGGTCTCCTCCACGTTTTTGTTGCCCGCCCTTTCTTAGCTCCCTCCTCCCCTTTCTCTCATTTCTCCAAACCAAGCGTGTTCACGGGGAACGAGCATGAGAGATTATTGCCTTATCCCACTATTTCCCGGGGAAAGAAAGACAAGAACCACCCACAGTCCCCAGACACACGCCTCTCCAAATCCCGGCAGCAGAGTTTCATAGCCCTTTCCACGAGGGGTAAAACACCATAGACAAAAGGGAGTAACGAAAACCCTTTACCGGTTGGACTTGGCGACACGCTCGAGCTCGTCCTTCTTCTTGATGGCGTAGGAGTTGCTGGAGCCCTTGGCGGCGTTGATGAGCTCCTCGGCAAGGCACTCGGCGATGGACTTGACGTTGCGGAAAGAGGCCTCACGGGCACCGGTGGTGAGGAGGGCGATGGCCTGGTTAACGCGGCGGAGGGGGGAGACATCGACGGCCTGGCGACGGACGGTACCGGCGGAACCGATACGGGTAGAGTCTTCGCGGGGACCGCAGTTGACGATGGCGTCGACGGCGATCTGGATGGGGTTCTGGTCGGTCATCAGGTGGATCTGTAGTCGCATGTGTTAGTCTTGTGTGTTATACCTCCTCATTGTGTCTGCAGGTCGGATTGGCCAAAGAGGTTTTTTGGCTTGTGGGTGCGGTCTCGGTAGGGTGGGTGACATACGATCTCGAAGGCGTGGGCAACGATGCGGACAGCCATGAGCTTCTTTCCGTTGTTGCGGCCGTGCATCATGAGGGAGTTGGTGAGACGCTCAATGATGGGGCAGTTGGCCTTGCGGAAGCGCTTGACAGCATAGCGGCCAGCGGAGTGGGTGACATAGACGGGGTTGCGGAGGGAGATGTAGTCACTATTCGATTCGGTTCGCGATTAGCTTCCTGAATTCTCCAAGTCCCAAGTTTCCAATTGCAAGTCCTCCGTTGAATGGTATTTCTCTTATTGTCGTTGTAAATCGCGTTCCTGCGCAAAGAAAGAGAGAAAAAAAAAGTGCTGGGAGGTGGACTCACGTCAGAGAGATGTCCCGGACCTCAACATCGTAATCCCACTTGTTGAAGAGCTTGACGTTGCCGACCTCCTTGACAACGTCCTTGGGGAGGACATCGTAGTTGCCCACGCTCTCGACCTCGATATCGCCGCCGTCAGACATTTTCGCTCGACCTTTGGGGGGTTAGTAGACCTTGTTGGGAAGGAAGATCGAGAAAGGCTTGGGGTGGGAAAATGTGGTGGTCGTGGGTTGAAGTTGTCCAAGTGCGAAAGTACGCCGCAGAGTGGGTTTCGATTTTTGCCAGCTCGCTCCTCGAAAACCGTGACTTTGGTGCACAAGGAACGGAACCACCAAGGGCTTTTGGTCCGGGCTCTGGTCCTCTTCGCTGGGCCACTGGGCGAAATATTTTTTCAACCCGCGATGGTGGTGGTGTGCACCCAATCAGAGCCTTCACAGCAGGCAAAGTGGACCCGCCCGCGTGCAATTTGTTAGGGTTGGCCAACCCTCCAACCGAAAGGCCTGGAGGGGTGGTTCTGGAGTGGCACCTCTTCCCGCAACCTCATACAATTGAAATTCCTACTCCCGACGACCTAGGTGCCTTTGGTATTCCGACCGACGACATCACAAATCAGACAAAATGGTACGCACGCGAAACGACGCCCCTCCTCCCGTGTGCGCGACGCACAAATTCGCGACTTGGCCAGATCACGATGCTGACTTGAATTGGATGTAAAGGCGCCAGCTGCAGGAGCTAAGAAGCAAAAGAAGAAGGTTCGTCGCAAACCCCGTGTTCCCATGAATGTGTCTTGAAGTGATAGAATGCTGACCTCGTCCCGATAGTGGTACGTATGATCCTATGCACACACGCACAAAGAACTTGTCGAAATATCCCCCAACGATACGCTACCCTCGGACGCCACTGCCTCTCTCATCCATCGACCAACCGACTTACCCATCGTTATAGGTCCAAGGGAAAGGTCAAGGACAAGGCCCAGCACGCCGTCATCCTCGACAAGGCCACCTCCGACAAGCTCTACAAGGATGTTCAGTCCTACCGCCTGGTGACCGTCGCCGTCCTCGTCGATCGTCTTAAGATCAACGGCTCCCTGGCCCGCAGATGTCTTGCCGACCTCGAGGAGAAGGGCATCATTAAGCCCGTTGTCCAGCACAGCAAGATGAAGATCTACAGTATGTCGAACCCATAGTGCTACGAGAGAAATCTACGGAGGAGCAGCAAAGCTAACAATCACCACCAGCCCGTGCCGTCGGTGGTACTGACTAAACCCGCTCAGCCATTGAACGTGGAACGCGTGACGACAAAAACAAAAAGCAACGGGAATCAGGGACGGATTTGGTCATATCTGCCTAGTCAGGAGGCTTTTCGGATGCTCAATGAAGCATTATACCTTGGGCCTTAGGGATCGGATTTGCTTAGCACCGCAAATGGAACGGAGTTGATCGTACATCTGCTGCGTCGTCAAATAGACCATGATCACGTCCTGACGTCCCAATGATACCGGCCCAAAGGTTATCGTCCCAGTGCATGTGGCCCATAGGCATTGTGATTCCCTCAGACGTCATAGCCCAGTCACGTCTTGCTCCAGTTAATGGTCTTTGCCATGCTGGTTTGCCTACTAGGTATTGAAGCCCATGTGCGAAGGCAAGCGGAGTTCTCCGGGGGTATGAACTGTGAGATGGAAGTGGCTCTCAACCCGACTGCTGTAGTCATCGCTGTGCGAATAATTTCATTCGCCAGCAAAGCGGTCGTTGCTTCGATATTCACGGTCTCCAAAGACCCAATAATGTTGCAACAACAACTCTCGCCCGCCAAGAGGCCCACAGATAGTGTTCCTGTCCGAAGAAGACAGCCGCATCTGATGCTGTAGGGCTGTGACGCACAGCTTAGTATCGTTCGCTCCGTGTTTCCACTTTCATGATGCGCCGGAAGCTCGAGAGCCAAGCGAAAGACCGGCTTGCCTTGGGTCTTGGCCCGCAGTCAATCCAGCCCTAGAGGTCACTCTTCAAGGCCCGATGTCATGCAGATTGAGGGCAACGGTTGCTGGGCTGAGATGAAGTGTTCTCGTCGCACGAAGGCCTGAGCATCAAGCCCTAGTAATACAGAAGGATCTTTCGATGGCTTTTGTCCTACGGTCTTGACGATGGCAACACTAGTTGAGCCTCGTCGACCGCCACCAGAGAGGCTGACGCTAGAATAAAATCATTATTCGTTGATGGAATGCAATATCGCGGTCTGTACTCGGTACGCATACTCGTCGGTCGACTCATTTGCCGTCTATCGTATTTCGGTAGTAATGACAACGTAATAATAATTTTGTGCATACGGAGTGGATGCTTCCTTTAATCTGTCACTCGCTTGATGAATTACTCGCGCTCTTGGTTTCTGGAGACATCGGCGTCAGCGCTGTGATGGATACTGGCATGAGCGTCAATGTCGCTGTCACTCTGGCTGCCACTTTGACAGGAATACGCCATTCCCTGGTCTTGCGCCTAAGAACCCGCGTACTACGTACATGAATTTGAAGACGCAAAGGCCGGTTGCGGGGATACAGTTTAAGAGCTTCTTGAGTCCTTTGCCGGGGCCCAAGCCCGGAGCCCGAGATGTCGGACACGTCAAGGGGCTGGCAGTGGGAATGGACTCGGAAGTGGTTCGGGCTGATGAGATTAAACCAGTCGTTGACGGCTGGGCGCTACGGCGGGACTTCCCAGGCGCTTTGGTCAAGTTTGGGGGTGTTTGACCAGGAAGTCAAATTGACTAGGGCGGTCCGAAATTTGATGTCATGTCGAAATTGGCAGCGTCACGAAATGCCCCTTTTCCCCTTCTCTTTCTGCGACAAGGGGAATTGGTATTGGATTTTGGAGGGGTTGATGGAGATGAGAAGTGATTAGTCCGTAAGGTGGTAGCGCGGTTCGCGTGCGAGCTTGCGTGCATCGAGTTTTCGAGGGGTAGTGAGCATGACTTGGTCGAACGTTGATTGGGAAGCCGAAGAATGCTAGAAATGCCTTGTTCAATGTTAGTTCCAGGGTCTCATTTGAACAAAGGAGCGGCACATGATGCGGCTGTAAGCCAGACGTGAACGTCATGTGGTGGCTGACGAATGACAAGCCATAGAAACACGCAGACCATATGGCAGCGGGATCCAGAGACTCAATACACAGCTGACTGGTTGACGAACCCCCCCAAAAAGACGGATATGACGAGAAGTGAAGAGGGATGGACCGGATCATTTGGTTCGTTTCAACT